GGTACATAAGGAAGATCTGCGATTTCCTTCAGAAAATGATCCTTTTGATGCGATAGTTTTTTACCCAAATTGCATTCTCCACAGTTTTGCATTTGTTTGATGGTAGAGTTCCACTCGGCGCTGCCTTCGTAGAATTGTAGCCGTACAATCATGGCTCATGTGTTTTTGCATAATTCGGTATTTAGAGCGAGGTGCGGATTTTAGAAAAAACTGTGGAATTGAGCACGAAAAAAATGTGTGTGTTGTGAGTTGTGTATGTGTCTCTTCGACTCATTTGTGATTTTGTAGAAATTAAGCTGAAATCTTGACCCAACTTTGAGCTCTCCTTTCGAGAAGCCAAAGAACAAGATGGCGTGTTGTCGGAAAAAACCGGCACGCGCGCAACACCGTTTGATCGGCGCATTTCAATCGCATCGGCAAATTTCCTGTCTCTAGCCAAATTCTTTGATACTTTCTACTGTTTATGCTCTCTTATATTAGGTTGTTTCAAAAGTAATTTCGCTTTTTTCAAACGGACGCCACATTTGATGGAACAAAGGTTTATAAGAGATCTTGGAAGCATTCGATGCAGAATTTCATTCTCTTTCCAAAGGTTATGAAATTTTTGCAAAACAGTTAATGAGCTTTCAGAAAATCACCAAAATCTGCGACCCATACTTTTTGAGATGGTCAAGTTTCACGATTTTTCAAGACTTTCATATCAATCCTCAGAAGGAGTTTAAGTAACGTTTCGATAGAGTAAACCTCACAGAATACAGCATTACTTTTTTCTCATTCTCGTAGCTCGCCGTAATTTTTAAAAGATTTTCTAACAGAACCATCGGATTTTGGCAGGCCCACCTCAGCCACAATCGCATCAAACATCATAAATTTTCGGAATTTGAGACTACCAAGATGGTGCTTTGAGTTAGCATTAATTTTACAAAGCAAGTGAAGGTTTACGGGTTTGAAATATCAAATTTCGAGTTTTTCGGGTACAGCCTGGGGCTCGTTAAAAAAATGAGTTATGATGATTTCTCCCCGGAAACTAAACGAATCAAAAACAAAAAACATCTGTTAGAAAGAGGAGAAAATGCTGCATCGAATAGAGCGCGAGCTGCTCTTCTGTTGATGTTCTACGAGGATTTAGCTGTCCCAGTATGGAAATCGGTACCATCAGTAAAAATTCTGTTAAAAATGTATGACAAGCTATGGAGAGGAGAAAAAAGTAGTGCTATATTCTATAAGGTTTACTCTATGGAATCGTCACTTCAACTCCTTCCGAGGATTGATATAGAATTTTTGAAAAATTGTGAAACTTGACTATCTCAAAAAGCATAGGTCGCAGATTTTGGTTATTTTCTGAAAGCTCATGGATTGTTTTGCAACAATTTCATAACCATTGAAAAGAGAATAAAATGCTGTTTCGAATGCTGCCAAGATTTCTTAGAAACCTCTGTTCTATCAAATGCGGCGCCCGTTTGAAAAAAGCGAAATTACTTTCGGAATGACTTAATATAAATAAGTCTCTTGCACATTTTCATAACTCGTGTAAGTAACTTTCGATTCCCTTGTGTGCAACCACAGGAGGGCCCGCTAACCTCCTCCAGAATTTTAAACTTTTGCGCACTCACACAAGATGACTAGACAGATGAGGTCCTATATTTGTAGTGGATAGAGGGATGGGGATTGATTGCGAATTTATCGCATTGAATATCTATCTTAATTAGAAGTTGGCAAATGAGGTGGAATATTATTATAGTTTGTCACACCAGTGACGCTTTTTCAAATTTTTTGAATCCCTACAGCCAATTTGCCTTCAATTGTAGGCCTGATGCTGTCTAAGGTGTGCGCAAATTTATTTGTCCACGTATTCTGCGTTGCGATACTGAATGATCTCTGCCATTTTGGTCACATCCTAAGATCTAGGAACCCATAATGATGGTATACGGACTCCTTTTCATGCGAACAATGCCTCTGCTATACTTCCTATTTATAAAAACATTATTGAAAGAATTCGAAGGGAGAAGTTTGGGCTTAAGCTTTAGATCGATGTCTGAGTTTGCTTCAGCAACAAAATCTCAGATCCTTCCTTAATGCTCACTTCGCTAAGCACTTAAAAGATAGATAAAGTTCTACGGTTTTCAACCCAGCTGACAAACAGCAGAATTTCTTACGTAGATAGTTTTGAAAGCGAGAAAAAAGCATATTAAGAAGTAAAAGTAAATTTTGAAAGTTTCTTCAAGCCAAAAAAGCAGATAAGCAGTTTATTTTTAGGAGTACGACACGGTCGACTGGAGCAACCGTTTTACACTTTGGCTACGTATTTACATGAAAGATTTTGGGAGCTGGGAAGTACTTTGGTAGTTAAAACGTTTAGAGGGGGCTGACTGCAGTCTTCAAACGTGCTTTTTTCGAATAGTCAATACATAAAAGCGAGGATTTGGTCGCAGTCATTAGGCTGATATACAGACCGCTATACAGTGCTGGCCATATAATTTGCTCTCTTTTGTTCAAAATTGTCTGAAAAGCCACTATTCTGTGTGCAAACTAACGTCATATCATTGACCAGGACGGCTCCCAATTTCATTGATTTTGGCACGAGAAAAATTGAAAAATTTGAAAAAGGGACTTCCAAGGCTGGCCACAGCTATAAAGCCACCTCTCATTTCCAATCAGTATTACGTTTTTTGAACCTGAAATTTTTTGTGCATATACAACTTCAAAATATAAAACGTTTATCACACTTGGAAGCAGTCGCCTTGTCAAAAAGGAGATTCATTCTGCATTTTTTGCTTCAAAATGTATAAAAAGTTATAACGCTTGGAAAAGCTGCCTTTTCACCGAATTCTCAAGCATCTGTTTGACTCGGATGAAGGTCCTAAGCTTCGCCGAGCCTTTGCAATGAATATGGTGAAAAGCGTAGGAGTCAACATGGCGTAGTCGCTCATATTGATAAACGAGCCCCAACCTCACTCCAGGTAGACGAGTTTTCAAACCGCAGAAATTGAGTTCTAATGCCCGAAAAGCTCTGTCACGTGCTCAGCACGTCGTTTATACAACGATAGGCTCGTGCACATAGCTTGAACGTAATCGCAACTCTCAGGAATTTGGTTCCGACTTGGACGCCTTTTTTCCAAAAATGAGTGGTGGTCTCTGTCTGATCATGGCACACTCTGACCTCTCGATCGAGCGGAAAAGCGCTCAAAACTTCAAAATTCTAGTATTCCTGACAGTTTTGTAAGACCTGAATTGAAGAGGAGTTCAAAGCAGTAAAATTTGAAGTCATGTGAGATGCACTGCGCACAACCGAACTGCAGACAAAGCGTTCTGAGTTCAGTGCTGCAAGTACGTCTTTGTAAAAAACCTGACAGCTTATGCATGAGTACGTCACCATGCAAACAAGGTGTCAACTTCCAACCGAAAATTTTCGCGCGTCATAAATCGAGTTTTGCGTCTCAGAAGCGTGCTTACACCTCGGTAAGATGAGGCTCGTTTATCAGTATCAGCGACTACGCCATGTTGACTCCTATGCTTTTCACCATTCTCATTGCAAAGGCTCGGCGAAGCCTAGAACCTTCATTTGAGTTGAACAAATGCTTGAGAATTCGATGAAAAGGCAGTTTTTCCAAGCGTTATAACTTTTTATACATTTTGAAGCAAAAAATGCAGAATGAATCTCCTTTTTGACAAGGCGACTGCTTCCAAGCGTAACAAATGTTTCATATTTTGATGTTGTATATGTACAAAAAATTTCAAGTTCAAAAAACCTAGCACTGATTGGAAATGAGAGGTGGCTTTATAGCTGTGACCAGCCTTGGAAACCCCTTTTTTAAAATTTTTCAATTTTTCTTTGGCCAAAACCTATGAAATTGGGAGCCGTCCTGGTCAATGATAAGACGTTTATTTGCACAGAGAATAGTGGTTTTTCAGACAATTTCGAACAAAAGAGAGCAAATTGCAGTGATTTTTAGGGTGGCTTTATAGCTATGGTCAGCACTGTATCAAAGTCTAGATCATTTCAATGACAACCGTTTAAGTTGCAGCTTTTTCAAGTGAATCTAATTTTCTTTACCCCGAGTAGATCACGTTTTTTACCCTAAGTTCATTATTGCCCGAAAGTCAAAATGCTTAACTGAGCAACTGCACATAACCACATAAAACTCATATCATTTATTCACTACTAAAGTACAATCATATCTCGCGTTTAGAAATCAAGAAAATAAGATAAGGAGAAGACAGCTATCACATGACGTTCAGAGGTCACAGATTGATTCATAGGTCAATCTTAAAGGCAGCGTCCGGGCAAAATTTCGCCTCTCATGTTTCTGCCATTCTGGGGCCTCTCCGTGGCCCTGATTACAGTTGTGAAGTCCAAATTGTCCAAACCCCCCCCCCCCCCAAAAAAACCCGATTCTTAGGGACCCTCTCTTCAAGGAGCGGAGAGTTTCGGATTGCTCGTCCCCGTCGCATGCCACCTTGAGGAGTTGCACTGCACGGATGCAGTTGCATTGCAGTGTGCAGTGCAACTGCAATGCAACTGCACACCTGCGTAAGCACTCGTCCTCAGAGGTGGTTTGTGATACGAAGGGGCGGTTTGTGATACGTATCACAGGCTCGTATCTCCTTTTAGAGACCACGTCAAAGGATCAGGCCAACGCAGATCGGATACTCATGGGCCCCTCTTTACAACTATATGCTAATTTGGGTGGATGGATCTTGCCTGGACGCTGCCTTTTAAATCGTGACAAGGCGGCGCTTACCCCGTTGCATCATGGACGCGAAAATGCACGTAAGATGCAGTTTCCACTGCATTTTCCTTGCCTTCGTCTATTTTAAAAACATTTTACATGCAACGATAGGTAGATTTTGTAGTGACTGAGCTTTGCACAAGATGATATTTTCGTATGGGAGCTAGATGCTTTCGTAAAGTTTGGGGGCGCGCAAAGACCACAGTCAAATGCGTTACCACGATTTTATGGTTGTCCATATGTTGAGAAATATGGCTAAAAACCTAACTCTTATTACACGGGAGCCAGACTTTGACTGGAAACGGAAAATATTTTACAACAACATTCTAATTAACTTCGCGATTTTAACTTTACCGATTAATCATATGGTGGTAGTCCAAACTCTTCGGGACGAAATTCTTCAAGAGTATTAATCACTTTGGTCACCCTAAAATGTAATAAACTTTCCATCGAACAATCTTATGCATAAAAAATAAACTTCTATGATTGAGCGTTCCGACTTACCCCAGTCGCATCACTTCTTCACGGTGCTCATCGGCAGGTACCATTACACACCTCATTCCGGCTGCAATCGCTGCTCTACCACCATTCGGAGCATCTTCAAAAACCAGAATGTTCGATGGTGCTGCAGGTTTTTCAGGAAACCTGCGGATAATTGAATTTATAGCATTATCTATTTTAATAGAATGTATAAACAATAGAGCAATCCCATTTGTTCCAGAGTTAGGCACTGCGACGCATGTATGGGTACAAATATGGGTACAAACCCGCTACCACTCGCTCCTCACGATTTGTGAAGCTTCATGCAATTAGATCTATCGAGGCTTAGTCCAATATCCAACAAAGGCGAAACAAAGATGTCCAACTGCGCTTTTTAGCAATCTTAGCATAAATCATGTACTAGTTTTGCCGTCTTCAGTGAGACGTTATCAACTTATGCTCAACGAAGTCAATGTTTCGGCTTCTTGCCTTGAATAGAGCCTGATAAGCCAGATGTACTAATGAAACAAACTCTCAGACGCGAACATCAGAACTCAAGATACTATATCAATCCATGACTGGTATTAACACCAAAATAGAATCACGAACAATTGAAACTTAGCTTGGATGAGCAACTAGGGCTGCACTGACCAATAAAGCCGTCGTGTCTCAAAGACGAGAGAATTTAGAGCAGCTTTTCAAGATGTACCTTGACAAACATTTTATTTTGAAGGGACACGTTTGCCAAAAGAACTTCCATGCTCCGCAATGCGACCGATAGAAGTCCAGAGGACTGAGCGAAGGTTGCAGCACTCTTCCCACAGTGCCCAAATAACCCCTCCTTTTTCCTTTTCACCTTCACAACCTCAGATGTGACTTTTTGAAAAAGATCATCCTGTCCTAAAGAGTTTTTATATTTTTGAAGTTTGTAGGGGCGATTTATGGCTGCACTTTTACAAGCACACGTAACTTGACGGGGGATGTTGATCTGACTGGGTCTATTTGAAGTGCCTAATTTATCTACGGGTGAAGTGTTTGGTTCCAAATTTTCATTGTAGCAGGAGAAGACTACAAGCTTAAAATAATCAAACCAAAAACGGAGCGAAGATGACGGAGTTACGCATAAATCAACAAAACCTCAAGCAGCCTGATTTTCGAGGGGTTCTGCTTGACCTCATAAACTCTATCTCCAAAGACGCTTCTTCAGCCAAGTTTTGAGTGATTTACTAGCAAGAAACCTCGAAGATTTTGCAATAGATGTTTGAGCTTACCTCAAATTGTTTCGGGCTTGTGGTGATTGTGGAGTTAAAGCGCTCGAGAAGAAAAACGCAATAGTTAATTTTGGCAGCACTTCTTAACCAACTACTTGAAAACAATATGAAGTGTAATTTTGAGCATAAATTGATAGAGAGTATTACTTTGTTATGAATATAAAGAATCTGACTTCTTCCACTTTACCAAGCTGATCATGTTCATAAATCATATTGGAAGTTAGGAAACAGCAGAGTTAGAATGGTTAGTGCTCCATGTAAAACTACAGTGCTGAAGGTCACGGATCCAATTCCACCTCTAATTTCTGCGGCAAATCCGCCCACAAATCCAGCGCCAGACCCTTGCAAAGATGCCACAAGCCGGCTGAAAATACCTCGTTGCATCAACAGCGCAGACATGTTTCATAAAGTAACTTGAGTATAGGCTAGGGTGTCCCTCGGAAGCAACGCGCATTCGAGCCCGACGGATGTGATTATGAAGAATTACCGTTTCGGCTAGGTGAACGGGACAGCTAAAGCTAGTTCACCAGAGGCAACATCTAAGGCATCGCAGACTCTCCGTCTAACTACCATTGATAAGAGTAGTCGATGTAGCCTGATACAAGAAACGAATTGAAGCGGAGCAAAGTCACGCGACATCGGAGATGGATATAAGTTCTTCACTACGGTGCCACTTGCACCAGAAACGGGGTTGGTATAGCAATCTCGGAAACTCTAAGGAGCAATATAGTTGACGTTGAGCGCATAAGCGATCGTCTGATGAGCATCAAGATAGATACCGGGAAACAGGTCCTACGAGTTATCAACGCCTATGCGCCACAAGTCAGATGTAAGGATAATGAAAAAGACGCGTTCTGGCAGGAGCTTGATGACCACATCAGTCCAATTCCACTGGATGAGACACTCCTGCTAAGAGCGGACCTCAACGGACATGTGGGACAAAGGCGAGAAGACGCGGGAAATGTCACGGAGGCCGCAGTTAAGGAAGCTGAGCGCATTTTAGGGTTCACCGCAAGTCATGATCTGGTTTTGGAAACACATATCACATTGAGAAGGATGACCACCTTATTACCAGTGGCGTACTGAGGGGGAAGAGCAGGGGGGGGGGCCCTCCACCGAGGATGGATCGCAAAATTTTTGAAAGTTAATTAGATGAGTAATAAAAATGTGCAAGAGACTTATTTATACTTGTATTAAAAATAAGTAATCAAAATTTTTTTTTGAATTTTTTAAAAATTTAATTTAGCTTTATGAAAACCCCTTTTTTTGAAATTTTGGAGTTAGGCTCGCAAAAATTTTGAGAAGCAAATCAAAAATTTTTTCTCGGTGCAGAAAATTTTTTTGTCGCCCCCCCCCCCTCCCCGAGCCGGAATCTTGGGTACGCCACTGCTTATTACATATACGACTGGCGACCGTCGGACACAGATAGACTGTTGGGTAATCCGACAGCGTGACCTTCTAAACGTAAAGGCCTTAAAATTCTCTGAGAGCTGCATACCTCAACATAAACCCACTGCTTCTGGACATCAAAATAGCAACGAGTAGATATATCAGGAGGTCCACGTAGAGACCAGGTCACGCATAAAATTGTGGAGATTGAGGACCAACAACGCGGCGAATCATGCACTGCCGATAACTTTACCGAGTTTGCAAGAAAATCCGGAGCGATCATGGGCAAACTTGAAAGGTCGAGTTCACTAAGTGAACACATGATGGAAAGTACAAACCGGGAAAAAGAAGGATAGATTGAGAAACTGGGTGGTGGAAAAATGAAGCACAAATGTTAATAAAGGACAAAATGATGCGTACAGGCGATGGCATCAGTCAAAATCGGAGGCCGATCGTCAGACATGCCAGCAAGCCAAACACGCTGCGAAGGCTTCTGTGAAGAAGGCAAAGCAGGTGTACGTGAAACAGCTCTAAGAGCAACTAAAATCTCGCGAGGGAGAACATGAGATATACTCGATAGCGAAAAGGAGAGAGGAGCCTACAAAAGATATGGAGCACTTCCTACAGATAGAAGAAAACTTGGAAGGACGCAAAGAAAATCAGGAAATCAAGAAAATCACGGAAGAGGAAGTATGGCTAGCCATATGAAGAACAAAGAGTGGCAAAGCGATTGGTCCAGACATACCAAGCATATTATATCCAAAAACTATTGTTAGCAAGTCGCCTCGATCAGGACATAAGGAGCAAGAGGATGCCTCGATTGGTATATTAGCAGAACGACCCGATATGGAATAACAAAGGAGACATAGCAGACTGCGCATCCTACCGTCCGACTGATGAGCCACACTCTAAAAATCTTCGAGCGAATAATCGAAAGACGACTGCGAGATATCATAGAGTTGTCATCGAATCAGTGCGGATTCGTGAAAAGAGTAGGTACAACCAACGTTATAACTCCGCTTGGATAGTTATGAAGAAATAGAGAGAGAAGCACAAGGAGTTGCATGCAGCTTTCCTGGACCTAAAGAAAGCTTCCGACAAGGTGCCCCGTAAAGTTATATGGTGGGCCTTGAGACACATGGTACCTCAAAAGAGTACTTCAGCGAATAAAGTTGCTTTACCACGATGCATCAAGCCACGTGCAAACAGTGAGGGCAATCGAAAGAATTTTAAATCAATGTTGGAGTCACCAAGGTTCAGTTCTTCCCCCTTGCTCTCCACCACTGTAATGAACGCCGTGATGGAATCACTCAGATGTGAACCTCCTTGGACACTTCTCTAAGCGGACTATGTGGTCTTGATAGCACGTACCAGAAAGGAGGTGTAAGACGAGGTAAAACTGGAAGCATAGGTTAGAGTTGTGTAGCTTGAAGCTCAACACCAGGAAAACAGAAAACAGAGAAGTAGGGAAACAAATAGGTAACATAAGCGTCTTTGGTGAAGAGCTTAAGAAGACAACGTCATACAAGTACCTAGGCAGTCACATCAGCTGAAAGAGGCCTGCAAGAGCTCGCAGGTAGGATGAACAAAGCGTGGAGGTTGGGATTTCACAGGGGGATAGTGAGCATGCTGATTGCTAACACGGCGGGAACAGGGAATTGGCATGTAGAAGTGGGCTTAGGAAATGGAGAACCCTGACAGGAGTTCTGTGCGACAAAACAATGCCAGTGCACTTCAAGTACTGCCTGTATCGGACCCTTATCCGTCCAGCAGCACTCTATGGGGGTGAGTGCTGGTTTTGTAAGCAGGAGGAACGCAAGGTCAGTGTTATGGAAACAAGGATGTTGCGATGCACCCTAGGAGTCACACTGAAGAACCACATCTGCAATGACACTCTACGAGCCAAGGGGAAGGAGGCTGCAATGGCCCATAGAAGATGCAGAAGAAGAGATTAAAGTGGTACGGGCATGTGCGCAGAAGGGAAGGAAGCCACATTACGAGATCAACCTCAACGGGAGGCACCAGGTTTTTTGTATTTCCACAGAATTTTCCTTCCCAGCTGCCTTTTGCTTATGTTCACGCCGATTTCGCATGACACCTGGGTTACTATTTGATGTTTCGCATTCTGTAGGCATGCAGATTTTCAAGATGTTTTGAGAGTGAGGATTCCGATGATAATAGTGATAGGATGTGATATATAAGCACGCGGTCAACACCGATAAAGACTTCCGAGCGCAGTGTGTGAACCAGGTAAGAGAGTTAGGAGTAGACCAAGATGAGGTGGATGGACAGAATCAAGGCCGACCTGCGAGAACTTTGAGTAGATGAAGACTTTCCTTAGAGAGAAGAACATGGAGAAAACTAATAAGAAAAGCAGACATAGCATAAGTGGGACAAATGAGAGGATAAATTTTTAGGCGTTAAGAAACACTACAAAATGTAATAGGTACTGGTTTTAGAGCTAGTAAAGGTAATTTGACGTATCAGTGGATTACATACCCAATTTATACACAGCAAGCTCTTTGGTGACCTTTCAGTATGCGAAAATTAGATAAGAAACTGGAAGTCGGAATTTGGTTGAAATTTCGATAGTGTTGATCAGCATGTTGTTCACGCAGCCACTGCTTCGGTTCTGGTGGAGTTGTCATACTCAAAAGTTCAACGTTTTTTTCCTTACCACCTCGATCGTAGTATTTAATTTTTTAGACATACTTGAGCCCCCCCCCCTCAGTCTTGCCCTCCGCCCCCCAAACTACCCTCAAGTCGGGCACGCCTGACCGTACAATCAACCCTGGTTATGTATAAGACCTATAGTCTCATTTTGGTGTCTGTTAACTATCGATTCCGAACAACACTCTGTTTTCTTTCGTTTGGCTAATAGGCTCCACTTCGGAATTTTCCTTTTACGTTAGAGGTCGAGCGAACGAACCACGATTTATTGGATTTAGGTATTGAATTAGATACAAGCCAGCTGGATTGATTTGCGGTTGCGTCAGTAAAATCTAAGGTACCTTAGGAGCGGAGAAGCACTCGCCGTGCCATCAGGCTTAACGGGCCTCGAGACATCTGAAATCTGATCCTTGACGAAGGCGGTTGATTCCGTGCAAAGTGATAGCGGCATGTTCGAGCATTTTCACCATTAGAACTTGTACGCCGCGCACGTCTCGCGTACATGAGCGACCACCTTCTTTTCGGACCACTTTGTGAAAGTAAACAGTAGTAGTTAACTACTGAGTAAAGTAAACAGCACAGTATTGGTACCACGCGAGGGCATAGCTCGCCTTAGATTTCCCTTTCAGTAAAGTTTGATATGGTGTTTGCTTGTCAATCAATCCAGCTTCTCTTTGTTTTTGTGCCATTAGGATAAATATCAGTAATTGAAGTTCGTCGCACGCTAGGCCAAATAATGGGCTAAATTGCATAGTTTTTAGCGAGTACTGGCTTCTCGGATGACATCTGGGCCATTCGGGCCCATCGAAAGGCCAAAACCTCCAGATACCTATTTTGCACTCAATATTATTTGTGCTTTAGCGACGTGGAACAAACCTAGCGAATTCTCTGATCGACTGCGCGAAAGTGACTTCGAAAGCGACTTCAAGGAAATTATTTGCCAACTTCTGCCTTTTTACTTCGCACACATTGATTGCTTCCCACGCGCTTACATGATTTAGTTGCTTGGATCCAGCACCAAACGAAAAAGATCATTTATAGCTTTTCGCCACAAGCTGCTAGCTCTATCAATTACCTGTTCATCGTGGCTAAAAAACCATCCGGATAAGGCTTTCCATGTTTGATTTCTTCCATATCGCCAATAAACACCTGAAAAGTGTTGTTATTGATAAACTTTTATAAAAGTTGATTAACAAGCTGCTACAAGCAAGATTTGCTTACTTGTATTGGAATAAGATCCAGCCAAGCTTTGTGTGGCTCACGACGAGGTCCGTACTTTGAGCTACGAGAACCCGAGCATAAAGCAGTCGGTATCCCTATGCGATGTCTGAGTTTAATGGGCACTTCCATATACACATTTAAAAGTCATAGTATACCTTTTTTATGCAAATGCCGAACCAATCGTTCAGCGCCGGGCATAGGCTTGCATTGAGCATACATTTTGGTTAGCATGGAGTCGTACTCTTTTATGTACTGTTCGGGTGTAATCTTGTCTCCTATATTCAGCTGAAAATCCATCTTTACCCAGGTAATTACGAAAATCTTCTCACCTTGTCAATAAGCCAAATGAAGGCCTCTTTTTCTTTCCGACCCATCATATCTAAACGTCATATTGAAAAGTAGTGTCACAAACCGAAAAGCTCAGCCTGAGTAAACGTAATAACGCACGTGATGCCAGCTCAGGAGTAAATTCATGGCCAAATCGACCTAGTATTTCTTTATGAACAGCCTTGTAGCATGGCTCCGTATCGACAAGAAGTCCGTCGAAGTCATATATAACATGAGTGATCGCCATGTATCTGTAACAAGCTTTGACGCAAAAACTAAGGACGGTGACACATGACAGACTAGTAGCGGTAGCGGAAAAAGGCGGGGGAAAGGAAGGGGAGAGAGTTTTAAAATTGCGCAGTGACTTGTTAAGCAAACGCCAGACTTATCTGGTTCAACAGGTCACTCCAGTTTACCTCATTCGTTATTAGTCAAATCACTGAGTCAAACAACGGATTAAAGACAGTGGCCTGGAAAAATTGTGACTATGAGCTTTTAACACCTACATGGTATTCTAGATCAGCTGAGTTCGGGACTATGCTTTAAAAATCTAAAAAGTGCTTTCTGGCGATTTTCAGCCTTGGAGATTTTTGATGGGGCTGGGCGAGCGATCATTGTCATAAGCAGCGACTGGCTGCAGGAGAATGTAAGCCCACCCACACCGGCGGTGATTGGAACATCGCTCAGGCAGCCAATCGCGACTTAGTTAACGATCGCTCGCTCATCCTCTCCAGCAATTTCGAAGACCGAAAAACGCCATAAGAACATTCTTTCACTCTTAAAGGAAGCAGCTCGCCAAAACCGAAAATCCCGAAAGTTTGACATGGTTGCTTGCACCCCAAACATGAGAATATAGCAAGTCCGAGCGCACAGCATGCTGCCCTTGCCTAGAAAACTTCGTAACACGCAAGCCATTCTAATTGCGCGGACGAGCTTGCGGTTCTCTTTGACCCGTCAGAGGAGGCATGCCGCAATGTTGTAACTACGAAAGTCCCGCGACGATTCTACTTCTCTAACCATGGCGGGACGTGCCCCACTCGTCCAAATTCAAAATGGAAGGCTTGATAAATGGTGCTTTTGTGCCATTTTCGCGCTCTTCAAGGAGGATCTTCGGAATCAGCGCCTCGAATTACCCCAGATAAGCAAAAAAACTTGGAGTCGAAAATCTGCCGAGCCGTTGCCTTCAAAGCACAGCCCAAAACTCAGGGCATTCAGAAGGCCAAAGAAGGATGGAAAGCAGTTGCAATTTTTCCGGACCATTGCTTCTAAGAACCGCTTGAATTGGATAAGTATGGCTTTTACTTTACTCGCCAAACATTACAACAATTTTCAAGATTTTTATTCGTAGTGTTCTTGTGTAAACACCCCCTCCTTTTCCAAATCAGGTGGGAGATGGGGGCAAAAGTAATACTGGGCCATTACTACTGGCTCTCGTATGATTTGCATTGCGGTGCGAGAAATTCGCGCCGACCGTGACTCCCAATCGTTCCTCAAAAGGGTAAGGTGCTGAACACTAAGGGCCGCATGCATTAACATCCCCGCTGGGGAGGGGATCGCAGCTGAAAAGAAAGCTTCATATCCTGAAGCTTCAGATATGTGGATTTCACGCTGTCTACCTATCAGTAAGTATTCCCACCATCTCCCATTATGAACATATTGAACAGGAGCGAGAAGCTGCACAGCCGCATTTTTCAGCTTTTTTTGTGTGATCCCCTGATGATCCCCGGGGGGGGGGGGGGACGACCGTTTATTCTTTGAAGTCATTTTTCATTCTTCAAATTTAATGAATACATTCAAAGTTGTATTGCCTAATTCAACAGCTAAGCCTGTTGTTGATAAGAACAAATGTTTTGGAGTCATGAAATTTTCGATGAACCACAGATCGGATTTTGAGGGTTATCGGAAATTGTGATATTTCAGAAACTCATTTGTTCTCATCAACAATATGCTTAGATTGTTGGGTTAGATAATCAGTGCAACTTTGGAATGTTGTCATTAACTTTGAAAAAAGAGAAATGACTTTAGAAAATGAAGACGATCGTCCCTCAGGGATCATCACGGGATCATAAAAGCTGAAAAATGCGGCTTGTATTCTGTTCAATATGTTCATGGCGAGGAATAGTAGGAATAATCACGGATAGGTAGACAAGGTGAAGTCCAGATATCTGGAGCTTTAGGATACAAAGCTTTTCTTTCAAGCTGCGATCCCCTCCCCAGCGGGGATTTCAATGCATTCAGCCCTAAGGCCCGTATGCACGTACGTTCCCGATGGGGGGGGGAGAGGAGGGAGGGATGAGAGGGGGGATCTGAGAGGGACTGGTCATATTTCGCTCCTCTACGTATCTGTAATCTTCTTTCTCTGTTTGTGCTATGAACTATTTCGTGTGATTTCCTGAGGGATCCCTAGTGGATCGTCTCTTCTTTGAAGGCAGTGTCTCACCAAAATTGGTGCGGGTCTTTTTACGTTAGAGAACTCCTGAACAGGCGATTGCCTCAAGTACGACTTAATTCGGACCCTTCTACGCCGAGAAATTTGCCCTTAAAGTAGGCCGCAAAGCGCGATTTGGCTCGTCACCGACACTTCCGGTGTTTCCCCTTTACGCCTTTCAACATGTCTCTCCACGTCCACCTCCATAGTGTTGTTGCCACTGTGGCGAAGCCGGGCTAAAAAGGCACAACTCGTCCGCGTTGTTTCTTTATGGGGCCTTCAAAAAAGGGGTTTTAATGCATTTTATGAGATTTAGATCCGCATTGAGTTAGAGAGGGACGAAAAGGCTTAATACGCAGCAGAAATTGTGTCGCCTTGTCGGACCCCCTTCCGAATTAAAATAGTCAGGGGGCGATGGAACAGCTGCATCGTCGTTGTACAGTCCTTGTAACTGTCGGCTGACGTAAGCTGACCACTCCTTGATCGACTAACGCAGATAGGATGGCGTTGGTTTCGACGCTGTCATAGGCTTTCTCGCAGTTGACGAAGGTTAGGACGAGAGGCAGTCGATACTCCCGACAGACTTCCATGACCCTCGAACCTTCTGAATGTGGTTTATGCAGTTGAATCCTTTGTGAAATCCAGCTTGTTTCTGGGAATGGGTTTCAACCAGTGTATTAGTTATGCAAGCGAGAATAATCTTCGTGAAAAGATTGTACAGCACACTTAGTAGGCATATTGGAAGGTAGTTCTGAAGATCCGTTCACCCTTCTTGAAAGAAGAACAGTTCTTGAAGTAATTATTTGTATTCGTATTCTATAGCCAATAACCAAGATTGTTAATGCGTTTATTCAGTCAGGCCAACGTTTCGGTACCCTCACCTTCGTCAGAGCCTCGGCAATCTTCGAATCAGGGTTGAGCAACCATCAAACACAGCGTTAGTGACTACTAACTGTGCAGACGCTGCGTATTAACAATCTTGGTTATTGGCTATAGAATACGAATACAAATAATTACCTCATGCCAAGATTAATCGATAATCAAGCTTGGACTTAGTTCTTGAAGTTCTCCACTATTTCGGAAACCTTTTAAGATGTCAGGTGCGAGAATCTCTTGTAGATTTTATCTTCCAGCTCGCAAAAATGCGACGGAAATGGTCTGGTCCTTGTGCAGTGGACGTCTTCATGGTCTGAATTGCCGTGCGCACTTTAGCAGGTAGAATTTGTGGTCATACCTCTCCAGTGGGAACAACCAGCACCGGCAGGAGTGTTGATGAGCGAAAGAAATTCGTGTTGAAGTTTGTTGCGATAGACTTTATCTTTTATTGAGAAGTCGGAATACCGTCTTCGTTCAATAGTGCAGCCGCGTGATATTCATGGAGGTCCTTTCGACACTTCTTAAGACATCGTCTTCCTTCGGCTACCAATATCTTGGCTTGCCTGTATTTTCTGAGATTCTCCTGCAAAGCTGTTCTGCGACTGGCGTTGCCTATCAGTCACTCCTGATGGGTTGCATTCGGATACTGCTTCAGATATCTTCTTTTGAGCAATTCCTTAGTGTGCTTCGAGACACGTTCCAAGTTCTTGCCGGAAGTCACTGAGGCACTCTCCGCAGGCTCGCAATCCTTTCAGAAGCCGGTTGTAGTCGTATATGGGTCTTTCTCAACAGGCCAGTCACAAATATAAGCTTTCCAGCCTGTTACTATATAAACCTTTCTTTCTTATTGCGGGATTTTGACAGACTTTTTTTCCAGCTTTCGTCTGAAGCGTATCTTCGCTCAGCGATGGTCGGTGATCGGAGCCATCGCAGAAGGATAGAACTATAGAGACATCTAGCAAGCTCCACTTTCGGTTGGTGAGAATGTGGTCGATTTCCGCGTGACGTTCCGTTGGGCGATTCCCATGTCCATCGGCGATGTTATCCATGAAGATGGAATTTCTTCGAAAAAGTCCTATGGCGAGAGAAGCCCAACAAGACGGTTGCCGATTTCATTCCGGAGCCCATATCCAGACATCCCGATTTTGTATTCTTTTTCTGATAGCATCCCGATTTTTGCATTGAAGTCGCCCACAACAAACTTGTCGAAGAACTTTTCGTTGCGGACGACTTCCTTCACGTCTTTAGAAAGCATCTAGTTCTAAGTTGTCAGCAGCTGATGTTGTAGAGTAGCAGTTGATGATGCTGATGGTCTTCGAAGTGGAGGTCATAGTCGTAGGATGGCTAGTCGAGGTGAGAGGATCTCATGCAAATCGACAACATAGACGATAGATGATTGGACGACAAAGCCAGCGCCCCCGTTTCGTGATGGAACCTTTTCACCGCGAACGATGAGGGTCCCATCACTCATTTGTCGCATGTCCTTCTTCCTGGACTTCGTTTCCTGCAGAGCGATGACGTGATACTTGATGTGTGGTGCAGTGTCGAGAAGAGCGTGGAGGTCAAAGTTTGTGGAGACTATCCTGGATTGTAGGTGCAGAGCATGAGGCAGTCTCTTTACTCAGACAATCGCTGGGGGCAGGCGGGCTTCGGAAAAATAGATTGCTGATTTTCCGCACCCCGCTCGCGGATTTTTTGGAAAGCAATCAAGACTTTTCGGAAGACCGCTTGCTGAGTCAGCGGATTTTTGAGAGACCGCCTGTTGAATTTTTTTCGCTCTTATCTTTTGCAGATATATTCCTGAATCTCTGAGAAATCGAGAACTCAGCAAGCGGTCTTCCGAAAAGTCCTAATTGCTTTCCAAAAAATCCGCGAGCGGGGTGCTAGAGATCAGCAATCTATTTTTCCGGTGCCCGCCTGCCCCCGGCGATTGTCTGAGTACG